ATCTCTGCTTCTAGTTTATTTTCTTTACAGCAGCAAGAAGAATCTCAGGTTCACCCCAGCCTATACGACATTCCCCTGCACTAAACTGTCAATGGTTCCCCATTGCATGAGTCAGTGGTTCTGAAATTTATAGAGGAATTTTTTTGTGGTGATGGTTATGTAACTCTGTGAATATTCTAAAAACCACTGAACTATATATTTTAAATTAGTGAATTGCATGCTATGTGAATTATATCTCAAAATTATTTAAGAAATTCATGGGAAATCAAAGTACCTGAAAATGAGCTAAGTATAGCAAACTGAAATGCTGAACGATCAGCAATTTTATTACCAGAAAATAAGACTATAGTGTATGTATTTAGTATTTATAGAGAATTGATAACATTAGAATTCACTACTTCATTTAAAAAAAAAAGCAGCTGAGGAGCTAAAATTCTCAACAATTTCCAATATTTGTCTTTAGTATTAAATGGCCATTTTTTTTTTGACTGGGAGTGTAGCTCAGTGGTAGAGCATTTGCTAAGGAAATACCAGGCCCTGGGTTTGACCCCAGCACCACCAAAAAACAAAGCAAGGAAAAAAACTGGAAAAAGCCATTGCTAAATTTCTACTATGTGCTAACAAACAAGTGTTAACAACACCAAAGACTTAAGAAAACTTTGAAAGTGAAATTTTAGAAGTGATCATATTTTATGTAATACTTTGGTTTGGTTTGGTTTTGTGGTGGGGTTTTTTTGTGTTTGTTTTTTGGTGGTACTGGGGTTTGAGGCCAGTGCGTCATGCCTGCTATGCAGGCATTCTGCCACTTGAACCATGTCCCCAATTTTTTTTTTTTTTTGCTTTACTTATTTTTTGGATAGGGTCTCAAACTTTTTGCATGGGGTTGGAGGACTTGGACAGGATCTTCCTACCCTTCAGAGTAGCTGGGATCACAGGTATGCACCACAATGCTCAGTTATTTATTGAGATTCAGTCTCTCTCACAAACTTGTTGCCTGAGCTGGCCTTGAACCAAGATCCTCCCAATCTCTACCTCCTGAATAGCTGGGATTATAGGTGTGAGCCGCCACACCTTACTGATACATTTTTTGTTTTCAAATTAAGACTGCAGGAAAACATGTGGGTTTGGAATAACACTAAGGTTTTCTGGAATGAGCTTTCACAATCCCTATCTTCTCAGAAAACAGCTATATTTTGGACAAATCATTAAAAATCCTCTTGCAATCTGGTGTTAAATGACCTTTCCACCATCATCTATTTCCCCACAGTCTCATGGCAATCCCAATAAGTGACTCAGTATCTCCCAGCCATTTCTTGTGGCTTTGCTCAGCTCCTTCCCTCTCCTGGGAGACCCATCCTCTTCATTTGACCCTTCATGGCACACCTGCCTTCCTTCTTACCTCCTGACTTCCCCTGTCCAGGAGAACCAGAAATGTGCACGTGTGTTGTGTCCATGATGTATCTCCTGCACAAACAGATAGCCTGGCACATGGAAAATACTCTGCAGAATCACCTTCTCTGTATTCTCAAATCTTGATGCATCTGTCTATCTACTTCTCAGTGCTTCTACGCTGACATCCCCTCCCCCACAACCAATGAGCTCTTAAAGGCAGGAAGGCAGGAATCATGTCTTTATGGCATACCAGATGTTCAACAAATAGCCAGGAAATTTAGGGAAATTTAGCTAGGCATAGTGGCACACCTATAGTTCCAGCCAAGTTGGGAGACAAAGGCAGGAGGGTTACTTCAGCCCAGGATTTTGAGACCAGCCTGGGCAGCACAGAGACGTTTTCTTCAAACAAACAAACCTGGTATATTTAGATGAGTTCAAAATATATTTTCTAATCTTGAGACACTCAAAGTCTTCAGAAAAACCAAAACATGGAATTTACTTATCTATGATGTGGCAAAAACTCTAAGTGAAGTCTGCACACTGAGGAATCTGGCGAAGGACATATATACATCTGGCTTAGAGGAGTTCACCTTGGAATGGTCCTTACAGGCTGTATTTGAGCAGTCCCTTGAGGAATGGGAGTGAGTTTACCAGAAAAGAGCAAAAAGAGGTGTCCAAGTGGAAAGAATCCAGACACTGAAAGGGTAAGGCCTTGAGCACCCCATGGGGCTGGGCGACTTCAGGGCAGGGCTCCTGGCAGGGAGAAGTCCTGGTCCCTGCGATTTCCAGCAGAAGGCCGGAAGTGTGCTGGGCCTGGCAGCCTCCTGGCCTGGACTTTGCAACATGAGCAATACAAGCAGATCTGTTTTACTCTTACTCTGCTCTCAGCAGCTTCTTCTCCCCTCAACACAGCATGTGGAACACATAAGAAAGCTGACCAGATCGGGTATGACACATGGACAAAGGCCAAAAGGACATGAGGAAGGAATCCTGAGGAGAATCAACTTGAGATCTGGGACTGAGCTCTCTCCAGGACACACCAACACCAGAGCTGTGTTAACCTCATACTGAAGCAGAAGTCAAGAATGCGGTAGAACTAACAAAGCTGGTTTCCTGGGAAGGCCAGTCTTTCTCTCTCTCTCTCTCTCTCTCTCTCTCTCTCTCCTCTCTCCTTCCCTCTCCCTCTTTTCCAGAGCATTTAATTTTGTATTTGACACTTTGAAATTTTTTTCTTATATTACAGTTGTTTGTCCTCATTCCTGTGTCACCTTTTCTTCCTCTTGCCTAGTATTACAAGCTTATGTGTGATGTAACGCAGCTTTATAAGACACCCTGGGAACATAAAGCAATCAAGAATAAATATTATTAGCTGGACACTAATGTCTCACACCGTCCTGTAATGCTAGCTACTCAGAAAGCAAGTGTAGCAGGTCTCAAAGTGTAGACCCTGAGTTCAAACCCCAGTACCACACGAAAAAGAAAAAAAGAATAAATATTAGATTTTATGTTTCCAGTTCACCCTTATAAATCTCATAGACTATGCAAAATATTTGTTGAATAAGTTGATATAGTGGCGATAACATGGTTAAAAACCTTCACTGACTTTTTCTTTGGCGGTACTGACGTTTGAACTCAGGGCCTCACATTTGCTAGTCAGGCACTCTACCAGCCCTATTTTTTTGTTGGATATTTTTCGAGACAAGGTCTCACAAACTATTTTCCAGGCTGGCTTCAAACCAAAATCCTCCTGATTGCTACCTCCCGAGTAGCTAGGATCACAGAAGTGAGCCACCAGCCCTGGGCTCTCCACTGGCTTGGAAAAGAAGTTGACATTTACTAGAATATTTACATAGATATTTATCTTGCATTCCTTTAGATTTTCATCACCCCAAACCATGTCTCCACCATCTGTCATTTTCTCTTTTCTTGCTTTGATTTGCAAAAGTTTCATCTTCTTATAAGTCATTTTGGGGGAAAGCCCACAGATTTAATTATTCTGCCTTTTTCTGTTTTGGCTTTTGTTTCCAAAAGAGATAGAGGTGGGGAGGGAGAGATTTCAGCAAAATTACAAAGTAAAAATACAAAGAAACAAAATATCCAATACTCACTGAGACACAAATTTGTAAAGAACATTAATGGCAATCAACATAAGGACAATATGATAAATTATAAAAGTCTGCCAATCTTCTAATGGAGAAAAATGACCAGAACACAAAAATACTTTAAAAACACACCATCATAGCCATAGCACATGAAAACATTTCCATAAAAAAATTAAGTTTCAACTTGAACATTGAATTTTCCAGCTCTCTTTGATTTTACATTCAGAAATCCAGATGTTCTGTGGCAGCTTAACCTAGCCATTCTCTCATTCCAAGAACCCACAATGCTCTGTCCCTTTCCAAGCAACAGAAAGGGACACTTCCTGTTAGACATACAGAACTTCAGGGCGAATATTTAATCTTAATTGGCAAGAAGCTTAGTGCAAATGAAATTATATTTAGCAGCTGAGAAAGTTCTGATGAGAAGGCATCCTGCATCCTCCTCTTAACCCTTACTACTTCCCCTGAGGAAACCCCTTCTCTCTTCCTGTGAGTTGGCCATTCAAACCTATTGAAAACTACTAGTGATAATTCTGTGTGTGACTCAGGGATTTTCCCTGAAAGATGGTTTCAGTCACTATGCAAATGAGCCACACTGTTTTTACACCTGGAAAGTTCTCTTTGGGCTGATACAAAAACCAGGACTTGAATGCCAGCCATTTGTCTAGGCAGTGGAGTCAAAGTCACAGGTGAGTCTTACCCAACTCCTTCTCTGCTCAGTGAAGAAGACACCCAAAGGAAGCACTAATCAGCTCACACATTAGTCACCACAGGTGGAATTCAGAAGACCTGGGCACGGGCTGGGCAATCTCTTTAAATCAAATTCTACTCTCCAGTGATGATTTGATCTCACTGAATGCTAAAACGCATATAAAGAAAAAGAAAGTCATCTGATTTCAAACCTGGTGCCTTCTACTCTCAGCCAAGATTTATTCTCTAGATGAACAGAAGCCAGAGAACTACTAGCCTTTTTTTGATTTGAAAAGAAAGAGCCCTTAGGAAATTTTTACTTTCATCAGGAAGAATTTAATGTTCTACATTTGAAATTTGTGTCACTTTAGTTAGGAATGTATAATATTTGAAATAATATGAAAGTATAACTGATGTTATTTTAATTTGCCATAAAAAGAGCTCTCAGAGAGGGATTTGTCGTGGCTTCGTGGATTCCTGTAATTGCTTCTGTGTTTGTTAGACATCTATTCTCTCTCTAGCCAAGGCCTGGGATTGTTGCTTACTTTGCCCTGATCCACACTGGCATGGGAGAGGGCAGAACACCTGCTGGGATTGGAATGCCTTGTCCTGCCCTTTGTCTAGGTTTCACCTGTCCAAGGACATGAGCCTTCAAAAAGGTGACATGAGGTCTACTGTGTTGACATGAAATCCAAGGAGGCATTGCACTTGACCTCTGTTTTACAACTTCCAGCAGCGTCTATTCCCCCTGAATTCTCTCACCCAGAAGCTCAAAGATTCAGTGAGATGGCTGCCTGTTGGACAGAGTGGCCCACCTCAGTCACTGTACTCTTCTCTTTCCCTTGGGACATGGAGTTTCTCATACTGGTTGGCCATTTTCCATTTGTTGTGCTGATTTTTGAATAGTGCAGCCAAGGAAGTCTTTCGGATGACATTTCTAGGCATTTCCCGGCTCCTGGCCTTCCTTGTGGGGGATGAGCTTTGGACCAAGGGATATACAGAGAAGATGGGCGTGCCCCGAGGAGCTCTCAGGAGCTGCCATATTTCCCCTGAGGTATTACTGGTTAGATACTGCCATGGCTTCTTCCCACTGCTGTCTCGAACATTCACCCGAGAAGCCAGTCTTTGCACTAGCAATTTCATGATTGCCTGGTGGCCATGAATGGCTGCCAGGTGTAGAGGGGTATACCCACAACCAGACCTCACGTTTACATCAAGCACAATCCCTGCCTTCTGTGCTCCAGAGACCAAGTCCTGCAGGGCCTGGAGGTTGCCATGTTTGGCTATCCAGTGCAAGGCTGTGTACCCTGTCAAGAAGTCTCTGTGCAAAACCAGTTGGGGGTCCTCCCAGAACAAAGTCAATACCCGAACCCAGGAGCCACTGGCAAGTTTCACAATCCATTCATGCTCCCTGGCCTCTAGGGGGACCAGGGATGACTTGTGCTCAGGAGATCTGTGGGGTAAGGAGGTTGCTGGTCCATTCCGGCTGGGGACCGACATGCTGTGTGACTGATGTTGCTCAGCCACAACAGCCTTAACGCCTGTCAGTTTTTGTGTCAAAGCGGCATCCACCCATGGGCTGGGCATTGCTCCTGCCTTGGAGGGTTTCCTGACCCGAAGTGGGCGCCGGCTCCTTTTCAGTAAGTTCTCATCAAAGTACTCCTCATCTGAGGAGGACAGTTTGGCTCTCCCTGCCCTAAAACTCCTCCTGAGGGACCTCCGTAACCTGGGTACTGGCCAAGGCAAAGGCTCCTGGGGGTGGCCTGCAGGGCCTTTAGCATCCGTAGGGACCCGCTGTGAGGTGTGACCATCCCCTCTGTTCCTGAGACCCTGAAGGCTCTGGCTGGTGCTGACTTCCTTTGGAGATACAGATAGGCTCCCAGCTGGATTCCTGAGCTTTCTCCCACCTGGGGTTCCCAGGACTTCGTGCAGCCCCTCTTCAGAGCCCCCAGGGGACTCTTTGGGCCCACTGCTGCTCTCCTCACTGCCATGGCTCTCCTGGTCCACAAAGTCATCCATATCCTGGAGGGACAGCTGACAACGAATGCTACGAAAGACGGTTGGAGGAGGGTTCCCCTGCCAGGATTCGGAGGACTCATCGGGAATCACAGGGAGGAGAGAATGAGAGGAAAGAGGGGACTCTGACAGCGCTGAGTTAGTCCCCAAAACCAAGAAGCCGGGTTCCGAGGATAGATGGAGGAAGTTGTCTGGCAGCACTGACCAGGCCCTAATGGGGCCCTGGTCCCGGGCCTCGGACATCTGCGGATGTCTGGCCACCCACTCTCGAGTGCGCTGCTCCTGCAGCCGAAGGGTGGAATGGTGCAGAGAGCCTGGGGTAAACAGCTGGGGCCGGTCTCCGGAGGGAACGGGGCGGGGCAGCAGAGCTGGCGGGGACACCAGGCTCCCGACAGCCTCGACGGTGGCGGGAGGCGAGCGGGGCGTTGCAGGCACCGGTGCGCGCTCAGTGGGCGCGCCTTCCCGCCGCTGCCCCGAAACCCCGCGGTACTCCTGGGCAGGAGGAGCCCGCGCCGGCTCCTCCACGGCGGTGGCAGGGTCCGGGAACGCTCGGGCCAGCGGGTCTCCGGAGAAGTCCCCCAGGCGGTTCTGTTGACATTCCCAGCAGCAGCGGCCGTGCGTCTCCGCCGCCGCGCACCTAACTCCGACCTGGGCAGCTGCCTCGGGAGCCGCGGGCACCGACACCCTCTGGCCTGGGCTGCCCCTCCGCCCGCGATCTTCCCGGGCGCCGCTGCCCGGGAGTCCATTGCACCCTGCGTCCGCGGCTGGTGCTGCGGCACCTGCCGGCTCCTCCTCCGCCTCCTTCTCTCGCCGCCGCCGCCGGGACTGCGGTGGCCGCGGCTCCCCACGGCGTGCGCCTGGCGGGGAGTGGGGCGCAGCTCCCGCTGCAGGGGCGGCGGCTGTGGGCGGCTCGCGGGGTCGCTGCAGTCCCTCCTCCCCCAAAAGGTCCCTGTACCTCCTCTTGAGCACCACGTACTTGGTGCCGTCGGGGTCCTGGCGCACTGCGGCGACCGAGTTCACGAAGCCCTTGAAGAGCTCGCGGCGGTGCTGGTGTTGGCTGGGGGGCGCGTCGGGGTCTCGCAGAAAGCTTTTGAAGTGGCTCAGCAAGGCGGCGTTGGTCACTCGGCCCCCAGCTTGGCACAGAAAGTCCAGTAGTGCCTCCTGGCTCAGCTCTCGGGCCATCGCTGCCTTGTCCCTTGCCCCCTGGGTGACGGTGTCTTGCCCTCCCAGCGCTATCTCCTTCCAGCAGAAAGCCTGGCCCGGCGTGTGTCACCTGCTCCTAGGGCGGCACCACCCCGCCTCCATCAGCTGCGGAGGCCGCGCTGGCCGCAGCCCCCGATTGCGCCCAGAGGGCCGAGGGTCCCCAGGGGGCGGCCCCGGGGCTGAGCCGGAGCGCGCAGCTGGGTGGGAGGGGGCGGCTCTCGGGCCGCCCCTGCGCGACGCTGGCCTCTCGCTACGAGTCCCGGCAACGAAAGTTCCCGGGATAGGTCGGAGTCGGTTTCACCTGCGCGCTGGCGACGCCTCCTCCCCGGCTGTGGGGGAAGGGCCTGGCCCGCCTCCTCCTGTCCCTCCGCCCTCGGAGGTCTCCTCCACTCCCGCCACCCATCCCAGATGAGTCAGGCTGGTCAGAGCCGGAGAGCGCGGGTAGGTGAGGCCGGGAGCCAACCGCTCCGCAGGACGCGCGGCCACTCCGGGCTGGGGAAGTGGAAGGCAGGTAGGCGACCGGCCATTCCTTGGAGTCCGCGCCACGTAGGAAACAAACGCAATAGAAGGTCGGTGTGTCTGTGTGTGTGTGTGTCTCTGTGTCTCTGTGTGTCTGTGTGTGTGTGTGTGTGTGTGTGTGTGTGTGTGTGTTGTGTGTGTTCTGAGTTAGGGGGCTCCATAACTTTGCCTGGGCTGACCTTGAATTTCTGCCTCACCTCTTATGGGTGTGTGCCAACGCCCTGTCCAAGAGATGCCTTTCAGGGGAGTACTTTCAAATCGTTAGAAGCAGTACTGACATCACTTTTACATGCAAACCATAATATGGAGATAGTGAAAAGGCCACTCAGGCACCAGCTTCAAGGGGTCCAAATACACCCACCGAAGTCTGTACTGAAAAGAAAAATTACTCTGAAAGCTATAGACCAATGTTGGTTTCTGCCTTTCTTTTTCCTCCATAATTGTCTCACATTAAGGTGCAGAAGGAAAAAAAAAATCACTGTTAGGTGGTTTATTGTCCTGGAATGCAAGTCAATAGGAATTAAATCTCACCAAGTAAGGTATTTGATACCCGTGTCACTTTGTTTTTAGTTAATCTAAAATTAGTGAACAGAAGAGATCTGTGCAGTGTGTTTCATGTTGGCTTGTTGGTGTAGTCTTTGCTTTGGGAATGGAAGGTTTCCTCCACATGATCAAAAAGTTGAATATATGACAGGCTAGCCTGATTTGACCCCACAGCTCCCAACCAATGTCACAATGACGGCTTACTCTCCTCCGTTGAAGGGATGTGGACTGCACCCTAATTCAGAGATCATATGTAGCATAAAACTGTACTTTTCATTAGCTTTTTGAAGAAGATCGAATTACGGCACCTTTCCCCCTAACAGCTGCTGTCTCCCTTCATTTTCTCTGTCTACATGTTGAGCAGTCTAGTCTGAGATCCTGTGTCCCCTTTCTGTCCTTTATCAGTCTTGTTTACCCAAATTATTCTACCTATCTTAGCATCAAGCCCTCTCATTCTTTAGCATGGCCTTCCCATTTCTTTCTGTGACAGGACATCCTTGTTTGCCTCTCACCCCAACTGTCATAGCCCCATGTATCCTGTGATTCCTATTAAAAATTTTCGGTTTTCTCCTCCCCTGTCATTCGACACTCCTCTCTTATACTCCCCTCATCTTTCCACTTTTCCTTCTTTTGTTCCTCACTCTCATTTGTCATGAGCCCCTGTTCTTTTTACCAAGTACTGCAAGTATCTTGGTCTTCAAATTGTCAACATTTTAGCATGGACCAATCTTAGTGATTTGCAATGTGGCCTCAGAGGCCACATTCACTGTGCTTTATTTAAAATCCCCATCAGTGTGTTGGTACTTTTCCACGAGTGAATTGGAATCATTGGCTTTCTAGGTCAGGAAGAAATGGAAAATTTGTTTTAAATCTATTTTGGTCATTTTCTAGAATTTAAACCCAGTACTGCGTTGGGGGGGGGGGGAAATGGCTTCCACTGATATCTCTACATAACATCAAGCCTGCAACACAGCTATTAAAATAAAGTTTTGTATTCAACTTCAACTCTCCTTTATATGTGGACACTTCAGAGTGGCAAGTGGAAGGAATCTCTCTTTGGTACTTTTCAAAGCATCTGGTGTCAAAGTAAGAAAGCTTGCTTTAAAAGAGCCATGACATAGAACGAGACTTGGATTTAAAACACCAAAGGAAACTGGAGAGAAAGGAAGAGAGGGGCCATCAAAGGTGTGGTTGTCAAAACCAGATTATCTTTAATGAAAGGTAGAATTAGTCTTCAGTAGTAGAAGGCAGACCATAAAAAGAAAAAAATTCAATTACTTTAGATTTGGGTGCCCAGGTGGCTTAGCATCCACCTCTTCTTGTCTTATACTTGTCCCAGAGTAAAGAGAAAGGTAGTTAGGGAGCATTTTCCTGCCCTCACATTTAGTTCATTATTTCCAAAACTATTTTCAGACAACTGTGTGGCCCTGGCACTGCTGGAGACAGGTATAAAGAAGAAAGTGCTTAAGAGCCAGAGAAGAGAAAATGGCATGAACCCAGTGCTATGTAATTTAACTGAGGCATGTGCTGTATATAGAAATTGAAAGGAGGTGCATAAAGGAGGAACTCAGGCTCAGCTTGCTGGAGGAGGGATCAGGACAATATGTCAACAGGAGGTAACTTTGAGTAAAAAAAGGTGAGAAAAAATTTTAAGGCAGAAGACACATTGGTGCAGAGGTGAAGGGATCTGGCTTAGCATAGCTATTTTGGGGAACTAACTGTAAATGGGTCTGCTTCGCCTGTTGGTGTTAAGGAAGAGGACCAGGGATGCTCAGGAAACTGCAAAAGTAAGGTGCAGAAAACATGACGGGCAGGAGGGAAAATACATCTTTTCTAGAGTGAGTGCCAGTAGAAGGGGAGTGGGCACAAGGAAAGGGGGACTGGGGGTGTATGTGGTGAATGTGTTTTGTATCCATATGTGCAATTAGAAAAACGAAACCAGTTGAAATTGTTCTAAGAAGGGTGGGAAGAAGAATGATGGAAGGGGTAAATCTAGCTAAGATATATTTTAAACACATATGTAAATATCACAATGTACAACTATTATATGCTAATAAAATCTTTTTAAAAAGTAAGGTGGAGTCAGAGGACACAGAGCTTGGGAGAGGGGCAAAGCCTTTGGAGAGCTTTCCAGAGGGTAGCAACCTGACCACAGGGCTGGAGACTTGGCACAAGTGGTAGAGTACCTGCCAAGTGAGTGTAAGGCCCTGAGTTCAAACCTCAGTGCATCCAAAAGAAAAAAAAAAGAAATATTTAGAAGGCAGTTGGTGATATAAATTTAGGACACCAAGGACATATGACCTTAGCATCTATAGATGATCATTTAAATCAGGGGTGAGGCACTGACGAATGGATTAAGAAAATGTGGTATCTATACACAATGGAATTTTATGCAGCCATGAAGAAGAACGAAATGTTATCATTCACTGGTAAATGGATGGAATTGGAGAACATCATTCTGAGTGAGGTTAGCCTGGCCCAAAAGACCAAAAATCGTATGTTCTCCCTCATATGTGGACATTAGATCAAGGGCAAACACAACAAGGGGATTGGACTTTGAGCACATGATAAAAGCGAGAGCACACAAGGGAGGGGTAAGGATAGGTAAGACACCTAAAAATCTAGCTAGCATTTGTTGCCCTTAACGCAGAAAAACTAAAGCAGATCCCTTAAAAGCAACTGAGGCCAATAGGAGAAGGGGACCAGGAACTAGAGAAAAGGTTAGATCAAAAAGAATTAACCTAGAAGGTAACACCCACGCACAGGAAATCAATGTGAGTCAATGCCCTGTATAGCTATCCTGATCTCAACTAGCAAAAACCCTTGTTCCTTCCTATTATGGCTTATACTCTCTCTACAACAAAATTAGAAATAAGGGCAAAATAGTTTCTGCTGGGTATTGGGGGGGGGAGCGGGAGAGGGCGGAGGGGGTGGTAAGGGAGGGGGTGGGGGCAGCGGGGAGAAATGACCCAAGCCTTGTATGCACATATGAATAATAAAAGAAAAAGAAAAAAAAAATCAGGGGTGAGGATAAATTTGGTTAGAAAGAGACGTAGGCAGTGAAAAGGGAAGGGATAGAGGTTGAATCCACACTTACCAAAGAGAAAGAGGAAAAGAAACGTGTCAAGGAGACTCAGAAGGGGATGCTGGAGAGGAAGGAAGCATAGCCATACCACAGAGGCACAGGAGTGAAGGAAGAACAGCCATCTAGAGATGCTGCCATGTAGATAAGGAATGAAATCCGACCAGAGCCTGTCAGGTCACTGGCACTGATCTGGAGCAATTTCACAACAGTGGTGGGGACAAAGGCCAGATCACAGAGGGGTGAAGGGTGAGCAGGGGTAGAGAGAGGGGCAAGAAAGACACGCCTGTGAAATAAAGGCGGCAAGGCAAATCTAGATAAAGAGAATATGGAATACTGCAATGCAATATTTTTTTGATCTGTCAATGTGCCAAGGGACAATTGCCAGGAAAGGATAAGTAGTAGACCTAGGGGAGAGAGCAAATAATTGATGAGATAGGGATTGGGGTGGGGGGGTCCAGAGTTCAGGTAGAGGGATTTTGTGGGACAGGACAGGAGAGAGCCACTTTCCCCCAGGAAGGACAGACAGGAGAGAGCTGGGGGGGTAGCTCAGTCCAGCCCTTACTTAGCATGCTTGAAGCCTTGGGTTTAGTCCCCAGCACCAGAAAAGGGGAAAAAAACCTGAAACCCACAACTATGAGAAAAGGCCAGAGAGAAGAAAAGTAGATATGGCATTAATTAGGGTAGGCTAAATTGCTATAACAAATAAGCCCTAACTTGTAATGACACAAATGCAGAGTTTATTTCTCACATCATATTTCGGGCAGTTTTTACAGATAGGCAGGTAACTACATCCACTGCGTTTGTTGGGGACTAAGGCTGATGGAAGCTATGC